CTGACGACGGTGTGAGGCCGGCGGTGGTCCACAATGCGGGGCGTGCAGCGTCGCCTTGAAGTCGTCGTGTTTCTTATGAATGTCGCCCAGAAGTGGGTGGAAAATGCTATCCAAGGCTACAAGTGCCTTGAGGGTGTGTGAGTGTTTGGGAACACGTAGGCTCGGGTGTGAGTGTCGGGATAAAGGGGTCATCCTGCAGCCTATTGTGAGCGCACCGTGTGGTGCTAGAGGTACGCTACGGTGTGAAAGCGAGCAGGGTGGCTGGGATAAAAAATTTAAGACAAACCAAACCTCTTGAATCGACTCAAGTTTTGGTTGCTGCCTCACTCGACCTGACCCACACTACACACGGGCGTGACTTGGCTGACCACAAATACAATGGTGGCGGCGATGAAGGCGAGCCTGTGAAAGTAAGCACGAACCAAAAGGAACACATCGGTGCTGCGACTGGCGGCTTCGGTATTCTCATCTCGCGGCGATGGCGCTCTGGAGCAGGAGATTTCTCCCCTCGTGAGTGAAGCTGCGATGAGGCTTGGCCCTGAGAACACGCTGCGTTGCTCCGCAGCGATCCGTCACCCTGTCGCCTTGTTGTGACCAGCCCCTTGCTTTGACCTCCTGTGTCTCGGCTCATTTAACAGTCGGAAAAGTTTACTACTTGTTTAAAAAAAAAATATTCTGGTAGGAACCTCCGAGTTACACCAGCCCACAGGGGATCATTGTGTCCGTCGTGCAGGGAGGGGCTGGGTGGGGAGGGAGGGGCTGGGTGGGGAGGGAGGGGATGGGTGGGGAGGGGAGGGTGGGGAGGGGCTAGGTGGGGAGGGTGGGGCTGGGTGGGGAGGGTGGGGAGGGTGGGGAGGGGCTGGGTGGGGAGGGTGGGGAGGGGCTGGGTGGGGAGGGTGGGGAGGGGCTGGGTGGGAGGGGTGGGGCTGGACTGGTCACCCCGTGGTGCCCTTATAAAACTCAACGTTTAACCTACTCACGCCGGCTTGTGCCCGCCCTCACAGTCGGCCATATTTGCAGAATAAACCACGAGGCTGTTGACCCTGGCCATTGACCGAGCAACCCAACGTTCCTACCAGCTCCCTCCACAGGAATGTGTTTTTTAACTTGATTTGAAGCTTTCGTGACTGCAGGAATTACTCTTTATTTTACCAGGTAATGGCCCCACTGAGCGACCCCACCATCACAAATGAAAGCTCAATGAAGTGGCTTCTCATCGGCGTGTGGACATTTATAGCAGCGGCCAAACGTGTGATGTTGATTCTGAATGTGGAGGGGAAAACTGGAGGACCCGCAGAAAAATCTACGTGATCACGGGGAGAGAGAGGCACGCAAATTTCAAATAGGGGTTGGGATCGAACGCACGTCCTCCTGTATGCCAGGCGAGGTAGTTAACATTTCTCTACCATGGCGTGCGTGTGACGACCTGTGTGTGTATGACAGTGGGGAGCGGTAGTGTAGCGGTTAGCGCGCTGCGCGATGAACCCGGCGACACGGGTTCGATTCCCGCTCACGGCCAACACCAGTGGCGATCATCTGCACCAGTCCTGCGCCTCCCCTAGGTCGACTCAGCCTTAAATGAGTACCTGGTGCTGTGTGTGGTAAACATCGCCACTGGGGAGACAAAGGCGGTCGGGCATGGTGCTGGCCACCCACCCCCTTGTGTACCGTTCCGGCCTTCATAGGTGCTCGCTAACAGCACTTGCCCCTCCAGTCTGTTAAGGCTACACGGGGGATCTTTGTCTTTGTGTGTGTATGACAATCTGCGTGTGACAACCTTTGTGTGACGACCTGCCTGTGTGCGTGTGACGACCTGTGTGTGTGACGACTTGTGTGTGACGACCTCCATGTGACGACCTCCGTGTGACGACCTCCGTGTGACGACCTGCGTGTGTGACGACCTCCGTGTGACGGCCTCCGTGTGTGCGTGTGACGACCTGTGTGTGTGACGACCTCCATGTGACGACCTCCGTGTGACGACCTCCGTGTGACGACCTGCGTGTGTGACGACCTCCGTGTGACGGCCTCCGTGTGTGCGTGTGACGACCTGTGTGTGTGTGTGACGACCTGTGTGTGCGTGTGACGACCTGTGTGTGCGTGTGACGACCTGCGCGTATGACGACCTCCATGTGATGACCTCCGTGTGACGACCTGTGTGTGTGTGTGACGACCTCCATGTGACGACCTCCGTGTGACAACCTCCGTGTGACGACCTCCGTGTGACGGCCTGCGTGTGACGACCTGCGTGTGACGACCTGCGTGTGATGACCTCCGTGTGACGACCTCCGTGTGACGAGCTGCGTGTGACGACCTCCGTGTGACGACCTCCGTGTGACGACCTGCGTGTGACGCCCTCCGTGTGACGAGCTGCGTGTGACGACCTGCGTGTGACGACCTGCGTGTGACGACCTCCGTGTGACGAGCTGCGTGTGACGACCTGCGTGTGACGACCTGCGTGTGACGAGCTGCGTGTGACGAGCTGCGTGTGACGACCTGCGTGTGACGAGCTGCGTGTGACGAGCTGCGTGTGACGACCTGCGTGTGACGAGCTGCGTGTGACGACCTGCGTGTGACGAGCTGCGTGTGACGACCTGCGTGTGACGACCTGCGTGTGACGACCTGCGTGTGACGACCTGCGTGTGACGACCTGCGTGTGACGACCTCCGTGTGACGAGCTGCGTGTGACGACCTGCGTGTGACGAGCTGCGTGTGACGACCTCCGTGTGACGAGCTGCGTGTGACGACCTCCGTGTGACGAGCTGCGTGTGACGACCTGCGTGTGACGAGCTGCGTGTGACGGCCTGCGTGTGACGACCTGCGTGTGACGATCTGCGTGTGACGACCTGCGTGTGACGGCCTGCGTGTGACGACCTTCGTGTGACGACCTGCGTGGTGACGACCTGCGTGTGACGACCTGCGTGTGACGACCTGCGTGTGACGCGCGTGTACGGCCTCGTGTGACGACCTGCGTGTGACGACCTCCGTGTGACGAGCTGCGTGTGACGAGCTGCGTGTGACGGCCTGTGTGTGACGGCCTGCGTGTGTGCGTGTGTGTTGTTTATTCTGAGCAGGCCCTGGCCCAGGCAATCCGCGAGGCCAAGGAGCAGCACCCCGACATGGCGGTCACCAAGGTGGTCGTGCATAAGGAGACGGACGTCTCGATCGAGGACGACGACGACGACGACGAGGAGCAGCAGCAGCGCCCCTGAGGGCCGCTGCCCCACACCCCCCTCCCTGCCCAGGTGACGCCGCAGCCCGTCGGCCTCCCGACCCTCACGGTGCCCCCTTGCTGCGCACTGCGCGTCTGAGCCACGCCAAGTCAGCCTATCGGGAGGGGGTATGCGCCAGCTTGTTTTTCCACTGCGGAAGTCGAGCCGTGGAGACTTTCTTTAATGTGCCGGGTGAGGCCTGACTGAGCTGTGTAGTTCTTTTTCGGAAGCGACTTGGCCATCACAAATGGATAGCCCAACGACAAGTGGCTTATCACGGGTAAATGTATAGCAGCAGCAGCCAAATACTCTAAACGCGTGACGTTGATTCTAAACGTGGATGGCAAAAAAAAATCGGAGGACCTGGAGAAAAAAAAAAATCCACGCGGCCACAGGGAGCAGGCGTCAGTGTCAGGATCGAACCCACGAACCTCCTGTACACCAGGCGAGGTAGTTAACATCTCCTAGCCACCGTGATGATGAGAGAGAGACACCGCAGACTCCAAATATACAGCAGGTGTCAGGGTCGGGATTGAGCCTATGACCCACCTGCATACCAGGCGAGGTCGTTCACATCTCCTAGCTACCGCGTCGATTTTTTGTTTAATTCGAGGTTCAAGTTTGTGGGTCTGCTTTGTTTTATCATGTTGGGTGCTATGGGCTTGAGCCGTGCAGTGCACGCACGCACAAAGGAAAAGACAAAGATCCCCCAGGATAGCCTGACAGACTGCTGGGGCAAGTGCTGTTAGCAAGTACCTATGAAGGCCGGCAGGGCACAAGAGGCGGTGGGTGGCCAACACCACCCCCGGCCGCCTTTGTCTCCCCAATGGCGATGTTTACACACCGCACCAGGTACTCATTTTAGGCTGGGTCGACCTAGGGGAGGCCCAGCAACGGTTCTGATAATCGTCACTGGTGTTGGCCGTGAGTGGGAATCCAACTCGGGTTGCCGGGTTCATAGCGCAGCATGCCAACCGCTGCACCACCGCTCCCCACACACACAACACGTGTACACGCACACACACACACCTGGCAGATTGCCAGGTGTGTGTGTGTGCGGCGGTCTGCTGCCGATGCTCACTGGTGATGTCTGTTTGGCGGTGGCGGCGGGGTGCGTGCGTGTGTTTGGCGCGTGCGTGTGTGGTGCGTGTGTGGTGCGTGCGTATGTGGTGCGTGCGTGTGTGGCGCGTGCGTGTGTGGTGCGTGCGTATGTGGTGCGTGTGTGGTGCGTGTGTGGTGCGTGCGTGTGTGGTGCGTGTGTGGTGCGTGCGTGGTGCGTGTGTGGTGCGTGCGTGTGTGGTGCGTGCGTGTGTGGTGCGTGTGTGGTGCGTGTGTGGTGCGTGCGTATGTGGTGCGTGCGTGTGTGGTGCGTGTGTGGTGCGTGTGTGGTGCGTGCGTGTGTGGTGCGTGCGTGTGTGGCGCGTGCGTGTGTGGCGCGTGCGTGTGTGGTGCGTGCGTGGTGCGTGTGGCGCTATGTGCTTGGTGTCCTCAGCGGCTGGCAGGAGGGGTGGAGCCACGGGGCCGTGGGGAGGTCACCCCGCGAGCGTCGCGCCACAGGAACCACTCCCGTGCCGCAGCGGCGGCCCCCGCCACACGCCAGGGGGACGTCACCCACCCTCGGCGCCGCTGTTGCCCGCGGTTGCTGGTGCCCATTCCGCCGCCCCTGACTCGCACCACGCTTCACGATTTGTGTTTGTTTGTTTCTCTCTCGCTCTTGATCTCAGATTATTATTATTTTTTTACGTTGTCTGTTAACGTTTTGCTTTTTATTCCGTTCGCTCGTGCGCGTTTTTAATCGTGCGCGCGGGAAAGGAAAAATAAAACCTCGCAAAGGGGCCTCCTGCCAAAATCCCCACAGCCTGGGAGGCTGCCGCAAGTTTCTAACTGCCTTGGGGGGCTGCCGCGAGTTTCTAATGGACTTGGGTGGCTGCCGCGAGTTTCTAACGGCCTCGCGCTCCTTCGGTCTGGAGCCACCGGCTCTCCACCGTACATCTCGGATGATAACGTCTTTAACCGGCCACGATGAACGTTTTTTGTATTTTTCTTATTTTAAATCTTCGCTAAAAGACCAACACCGCTCGCTGTCTCTCAGCCTGATGAGAGGTTGCTGCTGCTGCTGCATTCTTCAGCGTTGGAAGTGGCGGTGGTTGCTCTCCTGCTTCCCCGTGGCGAACCAGCCTTCACTTCCAGGGGTAACTGCTGGCCTGTGCTTAACAACAGCAAGAACTAAACTTGTTTTAGTTTTACCAGGTAAGGCCCACTGAGCTGTGCAGCTCTTGTCAGAAGCTGCCTTGGCCACAAATGAGAGCTCGACGAAGCGGCTCAGCGTCGCATGGACATGTATGTCGGCCAAACACCCTGTGAATGCACGTCGATTCTAAATGTGGCGGGGGGAAAGCTGGAGTTGCTGGCGAAAAATCGACACGACCGCGGGGAGAGAGAGAGAGAGAGACACCGCAAACTTCAAATATGCGTCAGGGGTCGGGATCGAACCCATGTGGACGTCGCACAAGCCCGGCTTGCCGTGGCCACGGGAGCCGACGGAACTGGTCGTTTTATTTTGTACCTTCCTGAAGCTTCCTTGTCTCTCTCTTCCTCTCTCTCTCTTCACAAAAACCCGCCCCAACGGCGCGACCCCACGCTCGGGGGACGCAGTTCCGTTCCGCCCCCCTCGCCCCCCCCCTCGCCCTCCCCCGTCGAAGTGAGATGGAGGCCAAGCGAATGGGGGCTCCCACTGGAGGGGGGGTGGGCTGCTCGTGAATTGAAACAGAATTCGGAATCTTTGTTTATCCTGGATGGAAATCCGATGAGCTTTGAAGCTCTTTCCCCCCTCGCCCCCCCCCCCCCCCCCCCACAGATATCCAGGTCGGGTTGCACGGGGTCAGAATGTTACGGCAGCACTCGGTAGACAAAACACAACCATGGGAAGTATAGAGAAGGGGAAGAAAATCGCAACGAAAAATGTTTTTACTCTTTTTATTTTACCAGGTATGGCGCCACTGAGCTCTTCAGTGACTCCTCAACTTACGAACATTCGACTTGCGAACTTTCAGATATGCGAACAAACCTGTCCGCATGTCCAGTTGCCTGTTTGGACCAAGAGTCGTAAGTTCAACCGCTGCGCAATAGACGGCGGTAGTGGCATCTACGTCTGCAGGAGATTATACAACTTGTAAAGTCATTCCCCGTGTTAGGTGTACACGCCGTACAACAATGTTTGGAATCGACAGGAGTAGAGTTTGGACTTACGAACAAATCGATTTACGAACAGACCTCTCGAAACCTAACTCGTTCGTAAGTCGCAGAGACCCTGTATGTATCTATTTTTTTCAGAGGTGGCCTGGTCACAAATGATAGTTTAACCAAGCGGCTTATCATCACGCGGGAAAATGTACGGTGGCCAAAGACCCTGGACGCGTGGCGTTGATTCTGAACGACGGAGGGGGGGGGGGGGGGGACGGGTGCGGCGTCGCTGGCTCCTGCCGTGGCTTGCCGACGAGGCCGATCGGAGCTCGCGTTGTGACCGTGTCGCACTGTTTTTGGCCAATACCAATTCTACTCTGTGTGGGTTTAGCTATGGGAGGAAACCCGTGCAGAATAGGGGGGAGAGGCTACACACAGCAAGGCACCCGTGTCGGGAATCGAACCCAGGTCCCTCTTGCCATGAGGCACGAGTGTTACCAGCGCCGCCACCACGGTGGTGTCCACACACCCGCGTGGAGCTGCAGGCCCGTGATGATGACGACGTTGGAGAGGCTTCATTAGAGGCTGCCGTTGCGTAAGAGATGGGAATTAGTTGGCAGTTCCCTATGGGGCGATGTAACCTAAACCCTCGTGTTCCAGTCACGTGGGTTCATAGTAGTGGCCGCGCGACGTTCGGCGCGCTGAGGTCCGACGTTTCGCTCCGCGTGCCCGGGGAGGTCCTTCGGGATATGAATGTCCGCGTTCGGTCGAAACGTCGGGGGACGTCGCGCCGAGCGAGACGCGGCACGACCCGGAGGGCGACGCGGCGGCACGGCCGCGAAGCCCAACGGCCTGGACTCGAACCACGTTCACCAACTTGCAGGCTACCGCTGTGTGTACCACGGCGTGTACCGCTGTGTGTGCCGCTGTGTGTGTACCGCTGTGTGTGTACCGCTGTGTGTGTACCGCTGTGTGTGTACCACGGCGTGTGTACCGCAGTGTGTGTACCTCTGTGTGTGTACCGCTGTGTGTGTACCACGGCGTGTGTACCGCAGTGTGTGTACCTCTGTGTGTGTACCGCTGTGTGTGTACCACGGCGTGTGTACCGTAGTGTGTGTACCTCTGTGTGTACCGCTGTGTGTACTGCGGCGTGTACCGCTGTGTGTGTACCTCTGTGTGTACCTCTGTGTGTACCGCTGTGTGTAGAGCGGCGTGTGCACCACGGCGTGTACCGCAGTGTGTGTACCACGGCGTGTGTACCGCTGTGTGTGTACCGCTGTGTGTACCGCTGTGTGTGTACCGCTGTGTGTGTACCGCAGTGTGTGTACCGCAGTGTGTGTACCGCGGCGTGTACCGCAGTGTGTGGAGCGGCATGTGCACCACGGCGTGTACCGCTGTGTGTGTAACTCTGTGTGTACCGCTGTGTGTGTACCGTGCCGAGTGCACTACGGCGTGTACCGTGCCGTGCTGCGTGCCCCCGCTCGCCACTGTGTGACTGCGGTGCCAGGGTGAGGTAGGCTGGGATGGCGAGCGCTGAGGACCGCGTCGATCTCTCGGCGCGCCCGCCCGGGTCACTCTGAGCCACTGCACGCAGGCTGAGTGAGAAGAGCGCCCCTCCACCCCTCCACCCCTCTACCCCTCCTCACCCAGTCTGAGACTAAGTGTAAATGCATGTCGAGATGAGTTGTATGCGGGAGGCAGTCAGGAATCCCAACCACAGAGGAGTCCCACATCAGCCCTGGCCATTGTCGTTTGTGTGCATGTCACGACCTCCACCCGCCCCCCAATTGTATCGCAGTCGCCGCGCTAACGGCGTCAAGTGTCCACGGACCCATTGGGAGCTCTCCGGCAGGCGAGCGGCGCAGCCCCCCTCCGCTTTAAGGGGAAGCGGCCCACGGAATGGGGTGTCACAGAGCTACTTCCCACGACGTGACGTCTGGAACTCGCGGCAGGGGGCAGCCCCATCCCGATTGTTGTCACGTGATGGTCAAATCCGATTTCATTTTCTTCTCTCTTCCGCGCATTTATTTCATGCCGCACAATTCTCCCGGCTTGCGCGCTGGGTCAGAACGCGACGATGTGGGACAGAGGGCGTGCCGCGTTCCACTCTCAGCCCGAGTCACCCCCCCCCCCGGCCTTTCGCTTCACGATCATCGCAACGCCACCGTGCCGAGAGCAGTTTGCGTTCTGCGGTTTGTTTCTTATTTTTGCCATTTTAACCCATCTTGACTCAATGATATTGACCAATGGTATCGAGTTATTTGCGTGTTATTTGACTCGGTAAAGGGGGCTGGGGGGGGGGGGTAATCCGCATGTGAACAACAGTGACACTTCGCTTAATTTTTTTTATGATTGTGTTTTGTAACTCGTCCAGTTGCGGACCGATTTTTAGAATAACCGACGGTTTTTAAAAGTACAGGCGAGCGCTCCACACGTGTAACACAGACACGTGTAACACACACACACACACGTGTAACACACACACACACACGTGTAACACACACACACACGTGTAACACACACACGTGTAACACACACACGTGCGCCGGCCCCATCCGCGGGCCTTCAACATCACGGCGGAGATGCGAACCGCGTCACACGCTCGCGTCTTCATTGCTTTTGTACACCTCGGCTCACCCACGTGGCTCGGTGTGGGGTGGCTTTGTGAGCGATCTCGTTCGCTCCTCCTCCCTCCCCCTCCTCCCCCCTCCCTCCCCCTCCTCCCCCCTCCCTCCCCCTCCTCCCCCCTCCCTCCCCCTCTCCTCCCTCCCTCCCCCTCCTCCACTCCTCCCACTCCTCCTGCATCCGAGCTCTTATCTTTAGCTTCCCTGCCAGGTGAATTATGAAGGATGCGCCACGTCAGTGTTAATTTCTCGGGTGGTGAAGGGGAGGGTGGGGTGGGTCTAGGAGCGTCTGCCAACATTTCCAAATATTTGGTGATGGTGGTGATGATGGGGGTTGTGATGTCACCCACTCTGGGTGGGTGTGGGGAGGGGATAACCACCCCGAGTCCCAGCTATTACTGCCCTAGTCAGAGCCCCCGTCCCCTCCCTGTACTGTGAAATAAATGTGGCGATTCGGAACCGTGCCTTTAGTTTCGTGAGTCGTTGTCGGTGTGGGTGCCATCTGCCGGGGGAGGCTCGTGAAGGACGCTGCTGCTGCTGCTGCTGGGCAGTTGGAGGCAGTCGCTCTCCAGCAACAACGGAGGGCGGAGGAGCGGCGCTCACAACAACGAGCGGAGCGCCGGGTCTGTCCCGTGACCTTCCAGCGGGCCTTCTTACACTTCACGTGGCCTTCAAGTGCACCTGGCCTGGCACAGGCGCCGTGATCACGTGGCCTCGCGCCAGCGGCGAGCCCCTTTGGGCCCTGCCACAGGCCAGCGAGAGATTTGCGGCTCTCGTGAGCGCCGGGACACCGGGAGCTCACACCGCCCGTTCACAGTCCGGGGATATTCCCCATTCCTATGACGGGGCGAGTCCATCCATAGAACAGCCACCGCTGACTTGCCCACAAAGCAGTACCTATTGTACCGACCGTGGGAGGGATGATGAGTTATCCCCGAGGCAGGAGTTGAACTCGCGGTGCATAGCACATCTCGAGAAAACGTGACCTTTGTTTACCCGGAAGGGCTTGCAGGAGGTCACGGGACACACCCAGGTGCCGTGGGTTGACTGATGTGCCAGGCCAGGTGCAGTCTGAGGCCACGTGAAGTGTCAAATGCTCGCTGCTGCAGGAGGTCACGGGACACACCCAGGTGCCATGGGTTGACTGATATGCCAGGCCAGGTGCAGTCTGAGGCCACGTGAAGTGTCAAATGCTCGCTGCTGCAGGAGGTCACGGGACACACCCAGGTGCCGTGGGTTGACTGATGTGCCAGGCCAGGTGCAGTCTGAGGCCACGTGAAGTGTCAAATGCTCGCTGCTGCAGGAGGTCACGGGACACACCCAGGTGCCATGGGTTGACTGATGTGCCAGGCCAGGTGCAGTCTGAGGCCACGTGAAGTGTCAAATGCTCGCTGCTGCAGGAGGTCACGGGACACACCCAGGTGCCGTGGGTTGACTGATGTGCCAGGCCAGGTGCAGTCTGAGGCCACGTGAAGTGTCAAATGCTCGCTGCTGCAGGAGGTCACGGGACACACCCAGGTGCCATGGGTTGACTGATGTGCCAGGCCAGGTGCAGTCTGAGGCCACGTGAAGTGTCAAATGCTCGCTGCTGCAGGAGGTCACGGGACACACCCAGGTACGACGTTTCGCCAGTAATTACAACCAGCATCCTCAGGCTGACAGCCACAGTTGTGGAGAAATCCTCCTGGTGCTTCGGTCTTGAATAGACACGGGCTGGGATGAATGTGATGTCGTCACCTGTGAGCCAATCGGGTGCGAAGACCGGAGGGGAGTGGTGGAGGTGTAATCTGTGGATTGAACAGGTGTTGAGATGGTCAAACATCTCTTTTATTGGCAGAAAGGGTAAAATCTGTTTTCTTACTTTTCATACTGGCAAAAAAGGTCACGCAGATGTAGGTCAACTACCCTGATTAAACTAAACCTAAAAAAAAATCTGATAGCAGCGTTTAAAATTTTTAATAATGCGTGTTCCTTTAATATGAATCACTTTACTCTTTGGTTCTTTCGGTAAAGTCACGTAGGTAGAAAAATAAAACGAAATAAAAAATAATATATCACGACGTTGCGATCGCAACACTAGCGGTAGTCTTCGGGCAGAAAAAATAATCCAGCACTAATATATCACGATCGAAACGTGAAGAATTATTTTGTTTTATTTTTCAACCTACGTGACTTTACCGAAAGAACCAAAGAGTATGGATTCCTGCAGTCACGAAAACTTCAAATCAAGAATGATTCACTTTGTGGTATTTAGAAAAAGAGAGACATAAATGAATTCGCTTTGTCACCATGGGTGGTGGTGGCGGCGGGCGGCCGTGTGACACCAAGCACACGAGTTGCAGAAGCACTGCCTCGACACGATAGGGGACCCCCCCCCCCCCCATGATGCTCCTGAACGGCCGCAGCCCCCCACCTCTGTGAAGGGGCCCCAGGGGGCGGCGTCACTCGGGGATGGCGCCCCCCGAGTGACGGCGTCGCTTCAGTCGCTTCGAGTCACCCGTCTTGGCCACTCACGGTGATTTCGGCGATTGCCACTTGACATCCGTGGGGTTATCCCGTACGTTCTTGTACTCGACATTATTGTAACAGTATTGTCATATACACCCCGATCAACAGTACGCGCATACCCCACTGCACACACACACATCCAACTCGACATACGCACACACACACTCAACCGCACACACATCCAAATACACACACACATACCCAACTGCACACACATCCAACTACACACACACACCCCACTGCACACACATACCCAGCCGCACACACATACACGCACCCCAAACTACACCAACTCATCTCACTAAGCTCGTCCTAAATGACAATAAATCAAAGGCGACGCGTTCCCCTCGAGGGGGAAGGCACCCGGCAGGTCTTCCTCGGCTACGTTCGCCGGATAACGAACGAGTTGAGCAGATAGATGCCACTAATTACCGTGGGATCATCGCAGACTCAACACTTACTTGAAAAGGATCACATTGACCGCGCTGGGAGAAATGCAAAATATTAAAACTGCCTTTCAATCGACACGAAATCAGCTTCCCAGCGAAGCTTCGTTTAGAGTGGAGGGCCAAGTGCTGTGAGCGAGGAGCACCTGTGAAGGCCGGCACGGCACACGAGGGGGGGGGGGTGGCCAGCACCACGTCCAGCCGCCTTTGTCTCCCCAGTGGCGATGTTTACTCACTGCACCAGGTACTCATTTGAGGCTGAGTCGACATAGGGGAGGCTCAGGACCGGTTCAGAAAATCGTCACTGGTGTTGGCCGTGAGCGGGAATGCGAACCTGGGTCTCCAGGTTCATAGCGCAGAGCGCTAACCGCTACACCACCGCTCCCCACAACCCCGCACACACCCCCACACACCCTCACACCCCCCACATACACCCCCACACAACCCCAACCCACACACCCCCACACATCCCACACACACCCCCAACCCCTCCCACCCCCACACACCCCCCCCAACCCCACCCACCCCCACAACCCCCAACCCACACACCCGCACACACACCCCCACACACCCGCACACCCCCCCCCCCCCACACACCCCCAACAAAAACAACCGCCATTCGCCACTAAGTGGCGGTGACGTCACCACGACGCTTGTGCCAGGCCATGTGCACCTTGAGGCCACGTGAAGTGTCGAACGCCCGCTGGCAGGAGGTCACGGGGCAGACCCAGGTACCACCGGTCGACTGACTGAGATGACCGAGATGACTGGCTGATGCACCACCTGTGCCCCCTATTGTGCCAACTTGGTGTGTTTTAGCCACCCGGCGCTCCGCTCGTTGTTGTGAGCGTCGCTCCTCCGCCCTCTGTTGTTGTTGGAGGGCGACTGCCTCCAACTGCCCAGTAGCGTCCTTCACGAGTCTCCTCCACAGAGGCCGATCTTGACACCGCTGGTACCAGTCGTCGGCAAGTCCACTCAGCTCCACGTCCTCCTGTACCACGTCACTCCATCTCTTCTCTAGCTCGTGCCGCGCCCACTTAGCCCCCTCGATCCGGCCAAACAAAAGCTGTTTGGGCATGCGGTGATTGGGCATGCAGGCTACATGGCCCAGCCAACGCAGCCTTGCCTGCCGGAGGTACTCACCGATGGGACTTTGTCCAGATCTTTCGAGGATTTGTGAGCTCCTCACACAATCCAGCCTAGTTAAACCCAGGATGGATCGTAGGCAGGCCAGCCTAAATGTTTCTAACCGGCGAAGATGTTCCATTAGGGGGATCCCTGTTTCGCAAGCGTAGAGAAGGGAGGGAATGACTGTGGCCGAGAAGACTCGAAGCTTCGTGCGGAGCGACAGACCAGGTAGCTTCCACACAGTGTTACGCAACCGATGAAAAGATATTGCCGCTCGACTGATTCGGAGTGAGACCTCTGCTGTTAAACCGGAGCCGGTCATGAGCACACTGCCCAGGTATGGGAAACTCTCCACTCTCTCCACAACTGCCCCATCACCGATTGGGAGTTGTGGGGGTGGAGTGCCCGATGGTACAAAATACCCAGGCAGGTGCTTCGTTTTGGTGGGGCTGATGGTAAGGCCCCACCTCTTAGTGGCACACTCCAGTTTCAGCAGCAGCGCCTCCAACTCCTCCTCTGAGTGAGCTGCAATTACCAGGTCGTCGGCATACATAACGTGGTTGACCAATAGGGAGCCTTCCCTGGACCGCTCCTGGGCATTGATCAGCCTCCCATTGTATCTGTACCAGATGGAAATTCATCCGGTACAGCTACTGAAGGCTTCACGAACTACGTGGTCGAAATAGATGTTAAATAATGTTGGAGCCAGAGGACATCCCTGTCGCACTCCAAGGTGTACAGGGAATGGCTCCGATTCCCGGCCACGTAGTTTTACTCGGGCCTGCTCACCATCATAAAGGTCCTTAATGAGCATGAGCAGAGGGTCAGGGACTCCGAAAGCATGAAGAACAACCCAGAGCCCAGGCCTACTGAGGGTATCATAGGCCTTGACCAGGTCAATGAAGCAGAGATGTAGGTCGTGTTGGAATTCCCTATACCTCTGCTGTAGCAGACGGACAAAAAATATGGCGTCTGTGCAGGATCGCCCTTTCCTGAAATCGCATTGGGGCTTCGCAAGCCTCTCCTCAGCGTGCCTAGCAAGGCGATGTTGAATAATCCTTGCCAAGACTTTTCCCGGCATACTGAGGAGTGAGATGCCCCTGTAGTTGTCACAGTCTGTGCGGTCTCCCTTCTTAAAGAGAAGGACCACCAGGGCATCCTTCCAATCCTGCGGAACCTGTCCAGTGGTCCAGACTGTTGTTATGATGTCATATAGGGCAGTCTGTGCACAAACGCCACCCTCCCTCAGCATTTCGCTTGGGAGATCATCTCTGCCCGGTGCCTTTCCTGGTCTCAGACTCCGGATCGCCTTCAGTACTTCCTCAATGGATGGCACCTCAGCCAGCCACTCACAGGGGGTGACTTCCTCCTCCAATATTTGA